GAGAAGGGTCTCCCCTGCCCGACGTCGGCTGAGGGCGGGTGTCCCGCGCACCTCGCCTGGCTCCAAACTGTCACGCCGATGGAGGAAATGAGTGATAAACGAAAAAAGCTGAAGGTCTTCCCTGCCGGCAGCTGAGTTGGGAGCTCTCACGTTTTGTTTTTGAACAGCCTTTGCCACCCGGAGGCTTGGACTGAAAAGCTATTTTGGAGAGTTGTGAAGCATTAAGAGAGAGTCTTTCCTCTGCCTTTCATGCTGACAGCAGCGTTGCTTGGTCTCGGTGCTGCCCGCGCTTGCTGCAGCCGGTGTTATCTCCCCATCCCTACGGCTGAGGCTTGTCCAAAGGCGCGTCCTCTCCCTAGACGCAGCTGCAGGTCCCCCTGCCCAGGGCAGAGCTGGCGGCCCCGCTTCACCTGCTCTGGGCACGTGGGCACGTCACTAAGTAGGAGAAGAGCCAGTCCTAGATGTGTCTGGGCCTCTTCTAGTGAGGCGAAGCGCCTGCCGAGAGCCCGCGCTGCAGAGCTGCTTTCTCAGCGCCCCCTCACCCGTCCCGTTGTGCGTGCAGACCGGGGGGAGCTGCAGTGCCCAGTCTTTCTCAGGCACATCCTTAACTCTCTTTTGTGGCCGTCCCTTTATTTTACCGCTGCAGAGGGCTAACTTGGAGCAAACTGTTCAGATTTTGAGGCCCACACGGGAAGTCCCTCAATAAAGCCAAAAAGAAGCATCCTGAAGCTTTCTGAGTTCTTGCATTTCAAGTAAATAGCTGTATTGCGCTAATTGTTGAAAATCTTGTTCTGAGGTCAAATTTTGCTTGATTTTACTTTTACTTTTACTTGATTTTGCAGAAAAATATAATCTAGAGCTAAAAATTATGAGTGCCAAGCGTGAGCACGCAGACCTGCGGCTTCAAAAGCAGCTGCGCGTGTAGGTAGCCCGAGAGCAGAATCTGGATAAATAATCTGTGCCAAGTGGATTGTTGCAAGCGCTATCTGCCAGCTATATTAATGCCCAGAGATTTACTCAAGAATAGAAAGGATGGTGATGCATTAAGTCAGAGGAGTGTTTCCAGATTAGCACATGCTTTGGTTCAGAATTGTTTTGTATTTATTACACTGAAAATTTCTGGCGTTCTGGAAGGATCAACTCCTGCTTTGCTCAGCCGGGAAACAGTTTAACTGTTTTAAACTACTTGATGGTGCCAGTAGTTTTCAGTAGTTGCCCCCGTCTGAATGGGAGTCCCGCCATGCTTAATGTTACTTATGTGGTTAGCGCTTAAGCAGATCACAGATGTGTTGCTACAGCTATTTCTAGTTACATTCAAATGATTACGTGACTCTGTCTTTGAATAAGCATATATCCCCGTTTCACTATAGCCATGGTTTACTTTCAGGAGCAGCTAATATTTCATGTCAAAATTGGATATTTTTTCTGAAATGCAGTATTTCACACATTGTTGCATGTGCTGATTATGTATGTTTGTTTGCCTGAGCTGTGTACTAACTTTTGCTGTGTTGCTTTTATTTCTAGAAACCACAGATTCCACAGAGGTAGACACTGACAAGGAGAAATGTATGCTAAATGACAGGGGTAAATACATGCCTACCGTGTCACTGGATGGAATGGCTTTTCAGATTAAGATGCAATTTATTTTATCATGTAATTGCATTTCATGTAACAAGTAGTTTGTTTTATGATGTCTTTACTGTGGCTGTTTAAGGGGACATAATGGAGGAAAACTTACTGAGCTGCTGTTGAGCAAAACAGTGCCAGGAAATTCAAGAGACTGTAGGGGCTAGGCAGTATTTACAAGAGTATTTTTTACTTATCCTGTTTTAGCTAAATTCTTAGTTTTCTACGTCTTCAGTACTTTAATAGTAAGGGTTCTTCAGCTGCTGCTGTGAGTTTTCACAAGGCCATCAAGAATTTTTTTAATCCACTGTGAATTACTGAAACTTTCAAATGAAGTACAAAACTAAGACAGAAAGGAAGATGAGCAAAGGTGAACCTAAATGTATTTTCCTTGGGAGAACCTGTTAAGGTTTTTTTTTCCCCTTCCTCTTCTCGGTGCCCAGATTACAGAGGGGCAAATATTTGATTCACTGAAAGATATTTGGAACAGGAATGTATGAACAGTTTTACCTAAAGAAAAATTTGAATAACTTTCAAAATTCTTAAGGAAATATTTTATCATTTGAGTTTTAATTGACATTTCATTTAGAAATTTAGATTCTATTCTAAGAGAATAAAAGCACCTTATATGAAATATATCTTCTAGGGGTGTTTCACTTGAAAGAAGACTGCAGTGAGGGACAGAAACACGGTTTAACTGAATGTATTTTTTTGCCTGGGTTGTGAAGGAGTCAATGCAAATAGTGTATTAGATAATAAAAAAGCAGGTGTAAATCTTTGTGAGGTTTTTTATGTGTGGATAAGTATGAGCTGGAAAGATTTCACTGAACGCCAGTATTGAACATCCACGTTACAGTGCGTGTCATTGCAGGCAGATGCTTTAAAGAAATGTTTCCAGGGAGAGATTTAGTTTAAGTATGCGGGCCTACAAATTCCTCTGCGTTTCAGCTTCCATCAGTATTGCAAATGGGAACAAGAATATTTATTTTTGTCATGAAAGTGGGGTTTGTGGAACATCTGTATATGTAATCACATGCAGTCCTTTCCTGCTGCATTTTATGTAAGTGTATATATAGAGGCTATTTAAATAGATGAGACATGCAGCCAGTGAAAATAAAGAAAATCTTGTGTACTAATTGCAAGCCAAACAACTGAACTGACGGCTGGCATTAATTTGGGTTCTGCCTTTGCTTCTCTGTTTCACTTCTCTGGCACTAGTTATTTTCGTGAGGCCGGATCCTGCAGGCTCTTTACACGACGAGGGCTGCAAGTAATAGAAGCCAGTGGGACTCCAGAGCGTGGGCTCCACAGCACGCTCCTTGGAGAGCAGTAACGCTCCTTGTTAGGGGAAAAGGAGGCAGGCACAAAGCTAAAAAAGGGGAAAAACTAAACCTAAAAAACCACCTCTAAGAGACCGCAGTCTCCTCTGAAGTATTCTCACAGTATTCTTACCCCGTGGGCGCTACCCTGACCCAGTGGGGGCTGTTTGTGGGGTAAAATGCTGCATTGTGTGGGTAAGGTCCCAGTAATCTGGTTAGTATTTTGTTGTAACATTTAAAGGGTTTTTTGCAGAAAGCTTTAGACTTAAATAAAAACATATAAGGAACGTAAATGTAATAGAAACTTAGCTAGTTAGACAAACAGTCGAACAGTGACCGGTGTCAAAGCAACTGTAGTAAAATTTAGTTACAGTATAGTGAATGTACTTTGTAGTACATGAACTCCAGGTCACAAAACTTCTGCTCCTGTATTCTGTCTTAATATGTAACCTTTTTTTCTTCTTCTCTAGGTCCAGTGTTTTTCCTTGCTTGTTTTAGCGTTGCTGCAGGATTTGCCTTATTTTGGTACTGCTGGGACTCAGGTAACCTATTCTAGTATTTTTTCTCATGATTGCCTTGCTTTAGCACGTGGCTGGGGAGAGCACTGTGCTGCTTGATCTAACGTGACTTACTTAACAGAGCGGGTCAAGGTGTCATCATTCATTAATGAGGTTAAGACACCAACTGCACTTCAGACATGCCAAAATATAAATAATACATAGTTCGCCTAGCAGAAGATGCTACAAGTAAGGGCTCTTTTTAAAGAGAGGAGTCATGTGAGCTCCTGTTGCTATAGCAATGGGTCATGATGCCCAGCAGTCAGAAGGCGAAGGCTGGAAAACAGACCCAGGCCTTCGGGGCTGCACGTCCTTTCAGAGCTGGCTGGAGCGTGAGCGAGGACTCGGACGCAGGTTGCTGAGCCCAGCAGCTGCAGCAGGTAGCTCTGGTGCTGGCCGGGGGCGTTTGCGGAGAGCAATCTGCTCTGCAGCCGCCCCCAGAGCGCAGCGAGGAGCTGCCCCGATTCCCGGTCATCCCTTTCCCTCTCCCTGCGTTGCTGTAAGGGTGACAACTCTTAGCAGAAAGGCTAAGCCAAAAGTTGGGGGAAAATGGTGTCTTAAACCACTGCAGAAAGATTCACTTGGGTGCGTTTCTTGGAGCCCTTAATCACGAGAAGCAAGTGGGCTTCTTAATATCTGATACCCATTTCTGTTTGCTTTTAAATAAGTGTCTGGTCCTGCCCAACCTGTGAGTCAACTTCAGCAAACCAGTGAGTGAGCGCTGGTGGGAACCATCCCGGGGGAGAGGGCAGCTGACCCAGTGGGGTCGTTTGCTCCAGGTCTTCCCCCAGAGCTGTGGGAGGTGCCAGCCTGCACGTGGAGGGTGTGGGGCAGGAGCCACTGGTTTTTGGATAAGTGCCTTCTGCTCCTCACATCCTGGTCATAGCGCTTACAGCTGGATGATGTTTTTTACTTTTTTTGCTAGAGCTCTAGGCTACTTGCTTAGCCACCAGTTCACGGACATCTCCGGTGATGTGGGAGTCTGGGCCATGCTGCCCTTCGTTCCCGGATCAGAGTCCCTCAGCAGGGCTTTCCGTGGAGTCAGGGTTTCAGGTTGAAAGGGAACCATTAGACCATCCAGGCTAACCTGTGTGTGTCCTTAGTTACCATCACTAGGCTCGGTCACCACCATTTTGTGGTGCAGCCCAATACAAAAAAAGGAGACAGCATCACTTTCCTTGATCATTTGCCTCAGTTAATTGTCCCAAGTGTTAAAAGTGTTTGTCGTATTCTCAATGTGAATCTGTTTCAGCTCCAACCTTTCATTTTTGTTACTCCTTTTTCCACCAGGTTGCAAAGCCCCTCAGGCCTTCGTGTCTGTGCCAGCTGACACTTTGCATTTCCATTTCCTCCCAGTGGAGGTGCTTGTGCCTTAAGTCACCTCTCAGTCTTTAGTTTTGCTAAAATCAGCAGCTAGAGCTCTCTGAGGCCAAGGCTTTTTTTTTTCCCCTCCAATTTTTGTTGCTCTTTCCTGACCCTATGCAGCATCTCAGTGTCTCTTATAAGACGGGGCCACCAGACCTGCATGTGATAGTCCAGGCTCAGACTCTCCAGTGCCACGCACAGGTGTAAAACTGCCCCCTTATCTAACTCAGTAATCTCCCGTTCTGGTGTCTGAAACTGCAGCAGGCCTAACAGATTCATTGCTACCCTGTCGTGGCAGTTGATTTATACAGTATTGAAGGAAACGGGCTTTTGTCTAGAGTCATTTTTCTGTTTTTGTTTTGCAGATGCTATTTATTGGAGCAAAACTTAACTACTTTCACTTTCTTTCTTTCTTTCTCCCACCTTCATTTTTTAGATACCAAAGTCCTAGGAAGAGCCAGGAGAATCTTGGGCTTTTCTCCTATTATCATAGGAAGACATGTTCGAAAGATTTGTATGTTGTATTTGGAAGACTTATCAAGGAATTAAGGAAAAGCTGCCTCTTTGCTTGTCTGTACAGTGTACCTGCCAAGGGAATACAACGGTGCATGAATATTAATGTACTATGTGCTCTTATACCAAAGATTTCATTAACTAGCTTCATCAATAATTGCATTGCCTTAAGATGTATTCAGAAGCTCAGCTATATATGTCCTTCCTTATGGGAATGGACCATTTATTTTTGTAAATGCTTATTTTAAAATATTTATCATTTGGATAAAAATATTTTTAATACAAACTTTAAAATGATATCGTCGGTGATCATGGGTCTTAAGCCATGTTTCCATATATGTGTTTTATACTGGAATGAAGGAACGCAACGGTGTAAAGAATGCCAGTCTGTCTTTTGTGATAATTAATTGAGGAAAAGCACTTAACCCACATGCAATCAAAGCCTTACTAAGATACAGATCTCCATCTCAGGACTGTCTGTTTTGCCTAGAAGCTTTACACTTACTACCTGAGCTCAGGTGGGCACGGGCGCCTCTAAACGTCATCAGTGCCAGGTACCTTCGTGTGTGCCAAGTCCTTGCCATGTTTTCTGAGCCTCGTGTTGACGCCTCAGCCCAGCCTTGTTCGTGCTGGCGTTGAGCGGTCCGCCGTGGCTCGAGCGCGCTGGAGCTGGCGCCGACCTTAGCCCGGCCTGCGCACTGTCTGCTCTGAAGCACTTGGAGCAACTACCAGGCAGATTTTTCAGGTTTATTTAGTCTTTTCCAGTGAGGTGTTTTGGGGTCTGTGTATCTAAGAAATGGAAGTAACCTGACATATTTTGTGGGGACTTAAGTGCTGTCATGTGGAGGTGTTTTATGGCCAGAAATGCATATATTTACTTGAAGAGTCTGAAGTTGTTTGTAATGTCATTTGGTCGTGTTCTGTTTTCTTCTGTGAGCTGAAACCTGAAAAACTTGCAGAAACCCTTCTCAGCGCAGAGTAAGAATGAAATACGTGAGGAAGGCTGAGGGAGTCAGGACTGCCAGTGAGGTGTGTGGGGTTTCGGAGCTTCACGAACCTGGTCGTGCTCCTGCCTAGCTTAGCACAAAGGCCTTTCCTCCTCCAAACTGGAGGTCCAGTATTTCTGAGCTGGCTGTGAGTAATGGCATTTTTGGGGGACAGTTCTTCAGTTCCCATAAGCGCTTAAGGAACTGGGGAGACCGTGTCCCCGTCCCTGGTGAGAAAGGCTCCTTGCAGCTGTTCTTTCACTGGTAAGTGACTTCCAGATCAAACGTAATGCCATTAGGGGACATGGTCACCTGAACAGGTTGCAGCTACGTCACAAGTCACCGTGCATCGACAGATCCCGAAGTGCGAAACTTTAAGTCATTTGCAGTGGTTTCCTCAAAACAGTCAGCTGGAAAATTATCTCCTGGCTTTAAATTTCATTCGTACTGTAAAAATGCTACCACCTTCTCCAAAGCAAATGGTCTTGTAAGACTGTGTTTCCTTCCAGGACAGAGCTCACCAGAGCTTCGTGGTCCGGGGGAGACTGCGCAGGGCTAACCTCTCCGTGACGGCTCCCAGGGTCACTGTGTGAGCAGCTCTTGGTGTACCCAGGTGCACCCCAAGATCTGCACCGGCCAAGGGGTCTTATACACGGCGCAGCAGCCGGATTGGTGCCATGTGAAATGCGCAACGATACAGGTGCTGTGCAAGCAAAACCAGAGCACCCTGCAGAGCAGTTGTTTAGATGTCTTTTCCCCTGCTTCCACCCCGCCATCTCCTGCGTCCCTTCGATTTAGTATCTACGGGGAATCTCATCAGGGAGAAAGCTGTGGCTGAGCCACGAGCGTTTCCCGTAGCGTTGGCTCGTGGCACCGCGTGGAGCGCGCCCCGCGGCTCTGCTCCCCCGTTGCACCATCGTCTGCCCTCGTGCCGCTCTGCGTGTGGGGATGTGCTTTAATTATATTCTGGTGTTTTCTCTGTGCCTTGCTCAATGCCCAGCAGTTTTCTTCAGCAAGCTCTCGCATTTATAACATTTGAAATGAAATGCAACTCTCTGCAATGCTGCTTAAATCCGAAAGCAGCCATTTTTAAGGCAGCAGAAAAAAAAATAGGGGCTAAAGGGGCTTTAAATCTTCGCCTTGAAGCCAACTTGGAAACCTCACTAGAGGGACAGCGTGCCATTTTACACCAAAATCACTGTTCAGAGCAATCTGAACAGTTACATCTCATTTTAAAGCAAACGCAGAGGTCTTGCTGCTGCTAGGCAGATGCTTTCTGTTTAGATCATCCACCATGTTACCCTTTGAACAACAGGTTGTCAACTGGTGTGAGCTGTTACTGAAACCTACAGGAGTTACTGGTGCCCTATTTAATCTGAAGGCCAGATTGTGCGGTGCTTGCCGGTTCGGTGACGCCTTGCCTTGCCAGCAGCCCTCCCGAGCCAGGAAAACAGCCCCAGGAGCGCGATGGCTGTGCGGGACAACGTGGTCCTCCCAGTTCCTTAAACCAAATGGCCTTCTTGAGCTTCTACAACATATATAACAGGAAGGTTTAGTAAAGGCTATGGCTATGTTTCTGCTCCTTGTGAAGTTGTTTGAGATGAGGATACCTCTCAGGAAAAAAACTGGAGGGGAGATGTGTGCCTGGGGTTTTGCCTGGGAGGAGCGAGGAAGAAGGGACATAGGTTCAGCCCGGCGTTGGTGGTTAAAGAACCTGACAGCAAAGAACAGCAGATTTGTGCCTTTAGGAGTGCTAGTTTTCACTGATTAAAAAAATGAAGGTGAGGCTTGCTATGGAATTGGCACTGCACAGGTTTGTGTAACATGTAGTCTCTGGGAAAGAAACGACTAGGCTCCCTTCCTTCCTTGTCCTTGAACTTTCCTAGTCCTTAAAAAGGGTTTAAAGAAATTGGGCAGAAGTTCAGTGGCTGTTTCGTAGCTCTCTGGGCTAGAGCAGAGAGCAGGAGGCAAGCCGGCTGGGAGATGGTCGTCAGCCTTGAAGATCCTTCTCTCAGGAACAAATACCAAGAGTTAATGCACTTCTCCCCAAGTGAGTCTAGGCAGCAAACGCCGACAGCAGACAAAGCGATAGCTGCATATTGAGTTCCTTGAGGAAGCGTGCATGTACCTGTTTGGAAGTCAGGTCCTTCGAGGGAAGCAGTATTTTTTGCTTTGAAATAAGTTAAGTGGGGTCTTGGGTGAGTGTGTCGAGGTGCAGCATTCCCGCTCCCCCGTCAGTGAGGGAGAGCTCGGCATTTACCGCCCCCGCTGCGTGCCCACGCGAGCCAACGTTGTAACGCCCCGGACTAGCGCGAGCCGGCGCATGGCCCTGGCCGTGCAAATAGTCAAGGCAGACAGGCTGGACCGTTTGCATCCGAAGAGAGCTGGGAAAGGAAGCGACGGCTCGTGCGGTGAATTTGCACAAGGCCGTTTAAAGCAAGACTGCTGTTTGGAGCACTTTGGGGCAGCAGGACGCGAGCGCGGGACTCGAGCTCAGGCTCAGGCTGCCACGTGCCGGGCTGCTTCAGAGCCACTGGTGGCGTTTCCAGGCTGCCGGGGCTGAGCTGCCCTTTCGGTTTCTTTGAATTATGATGCGTTTGGTTTTTTTTTTCCTCATACTATAATAAAAGGAAAACTTAAAATATATTTGCTCGAAATGTACAGTTGTGGATGCTTTTCACAGGTGTTCTGTATGCACAAACATTATTCCAGAAAAAGGCGATGCCTTGGCTGTGTAAGCAGTGCTGCTGTTACACCTGGAAGTGCAAGCAGTTTGCTCTGCTTCACAGGTCCTGTGTTTTGTAATCATTTATCCTAGCGTATGTCTTCTCTAATTCTATAAAAGTTAATGGAATGTGTTTTTTTAATGGGGTGAAGCTGGCAATTAAATTGTAATAAAGTCTGTACTGAGAAAACTGCTTCTGTTTTTTGTGTATTGTGCTTTGTCCTGACTTCCAGAAGCGCCCTGTGGCCCGTGGCCCTCTCGTGGCAGCTGTCTGCTGACGCCCTCCCCTTCTCTGCCATGCAATGGCTAATATTTTGTCTTTGGCTTTTCTGGTAAGATTTTTAACTTTTTCATTTGGTTTCAAAATTCTTTGCAATTTTTCTGGTCAATCTGTTCAGTGATACGGTGCAATTAAACATGAAGCGTTGGTGCAAAGGCTGGCTGTCTTTTTGTTAAGCCTTGACTTTGTGTCGTCGTGATAGTCTGATCAGTCATTACCCGTCCGGACTTGCTTGGAGGCCTACATCAAAGTGACTTCCACGTAGGAGTGGTTTTAAGGGTTACTTTGACCACGCGAAAAGGGGCTTTAGGTGAGGAGAATGCGCAGACAAATTTGGCAGTGGCTCGTGCTTCGGTGTAGACTTCGGAGAGGGATCTGCTGCCCAGGGGCTGCGACGGGATGTGGAGGATCCCACCGAAGCAGCGCGTTGCTGCCGCGGGGGAGAGGCTCGGGCGGAGGCACCGTGCCGATGGCAGCGGCCTGGAAGCAGCCCGTGTGCGTGTGTGTGCGTGTGTGTGCGTGTGTGTGTGCGTGTGTGTGTGCGTGTGTGTGCGTGTGCGTGTGTGTGTGTGCGCGCATGCGCCTGCGTGTGTGCGTGCATGTGCGTGTGTGTGCAAAAGAGCACTTCAGGTGAATCCTGAATTGCCCTTTCTATTTTGGAGCGCAAGCCATTACATGCCATGGTTGCAAGAAAAAGCTTTCTTACATTCTTCTGTTAGTAAAACTTTAATAACCTCGTGCCTAGTAAAGCAAAAACCTTTCAGACTCAGTTTGTGCTTGGTGAACGCTTTCTGTGGGAAGGCAACTGGGAGCAGCTGGAGCGACCTGCGGCGCCCCGGCGGGCCGGGGACCCCTAACGGGTGTGAATAAATAACTGCTGAAAAGTGTGTGCGCAGGCACGGCCGGCAGGCTGGCGCGGTTTGCCTACCTGTGCTCGCTGCACCGGTCCCGCTTGCCTTCCCATGACTCGGTGTGTGTGGAGGGGGGAGATGGGGCAGCAAAGCCCCCGGGTTGGTGTTCGGTGCTGAGGGGCCGGGGAGGAAGGGAGACCCTCCTGCTCTGTCTGGGGACACGGTCCTGCCGCCCGCCAGGGCCGGAGGGATCCCCTCAGCTTTTGTCTTGCTGGGCCCAAGGTCCACGATGTGGCGTCTGACCCCACAAGCCCACGTATATGTGGATTTTGGGATCATTTTCTATGTATTTATCCATAGGTTCCTCGGAGATTATTGCAAGTCCTCTCATTTTTGGGTAGCAATATGTTCTGTAACACGTGGCTTTAGGCTGATGCAAAGCAGTGCAGCTTACGGGTCCCGCTTGTAATAAGCAGCCTGGAAAACACACTCTTTTTCTTTTTTTTTTTTTTTAAGCTCAGATTTTTAGCTGTCCTTCGGGTTTTGCAGCTGGACAGGGCGCAGCTGGCTTGCTCCAGGCGGCTGCTCCGTGCCACCTAGCGGACGTTTCGTA